CCGACCTTGGGCGAGGACTACCCTTGCCGACCTCGAGCGAGGGACGCCTACAACTGGGCCCTCCTCTCCTGAGGCCAGTGGATCAATGAGGCTCGACAATGTCTGGCTGATGGAAAGAGGGAAAAAGAAAAAAAGAAAAGAAAAGGAAAAATAAGAAAAAAAATTTAGAAAATCAAAAAATTACAAAAATAACCCATGTTAGCGCCGGTCGTGCCACATGGACTGCTGACGTTGATTAGATCGCCACGTCGGCGATTTTCGGCCAAAATTGAAAATTCGTTAAAAAGTTTATTACTAAATTGACAAATTATCAAAATGTTTAGGACTCAATTGGCACAACTGAAAGATTTAAGACTAAATTGGCAACAAAGGTTTATGACTAAATTAGCACAATTGAACGAAAAAGTACCAAAAAAATCATAAACTCATCGCATTAGTACTAATTTAGTCTTAAACATATTTTCATTGGTACCAATTCAGTCCATTCGGACAATTAGGCGGGAAATTGCTGTCATGGATGTCAGCCGTCTTATGTAGCGCGACTGGCATTGATGTGGGCAATTTTTTTAAAATTCTAAAAATTATTTTTGAACTTTTTATTAATTTTTGTCTTTCCTTTTCTTTTTTTCTTCTCTTTTCCTTCTTTTCTTTTTCTTTTCCATTGTGGCCGGCGAGGGTCGCGGCCCTCGCCCAGATCTAGGTGAGCCCTACCGCCTTCGCCCACAGTTGGCTAGGCTCTAGCGAGGCTGGCCTTGCCCACTCCCTCCTTTTGTTCTCTTCTCGACATAGGCAGAGCTTGTCTCGAATTCCTCCATCACACGACAATTCCTCTCCGTTCAAGGTAAGCCCTTACTCTATGTGCTATTTTAATTCGCATCCTGAATTGCAACGATAGCTCACTCTAGGATAGTCACATGTTGTCGTTGCTACTTTGACTTCCGTGTATGATTGTCGAGTGCCGGAAGGAGATGAGCTCATGGTCCGTGTATGATTGTCGCGGCCCTCGCCCTGCGCCTCACCCACATCTGGGCGAGGGCTTCGCAGCCGTTGCCCAATGGCTGACGAGCTCTGATGATCCTCTCCTAGTGGCCGGCGAGCATCAGCGACCCTCGCCGGCCATAGTGGAAAAAAGAATGAAAAGAGAAGAAAAGAAAAGAAATTAATAAAAATTCAAAAAAAATATTTAGAAAATGTTAACATCAGTATTAATCGTGCCACGTAGGATTGCTGGCGTCCACATCAGCAATTTCGGCTTAAATTGGCCGGATGGATTGAATCGCTATCAATATGAAAATATTTATGATTAAATTGATCCAGTTGAAAGGTTTATAATTGAATTGGTGGTACCAATACAATAGGTTTATAACCTTTTTTTTTTGTACTTTTGCCTTACAATCGAAAGGTTCAGCAATGAATTGGCTGCCTCACAATAGATTTAGGACTTTTCGAATACTTTCTCCTCCCTATTTATATATCCTTATCTGGTAGATTTGGCATGACTAATCCAATCAAGGACCCCTATCTTCCATAACAAAAGGCGTTTGTTGACCATCGAAAGCCGACGGACTTCATCCTCTGTCGAGCGCTCGATCAAGACCCCCTCGATCATCTTATCTTCTGGCGAAAAGGATTCCAACGAATAGATTAGACACAAGATTCCCCAAAAAACACGTTTTACGAACAACGTAGTACTTGAACCTCGCTTGTGCCGAACGCCAGACGAACTACTACAAAAACAAGGGAGAGAATAGCGTCCCTTGTAACCCAGCAGGAAGTGTCCTGAAGGACTTGCTCCAGCCTAAACTCATGGCGGGTACGGATACCTCCTTCAAAGGCTACGAAGTTTTGCCGTTCGATGGGAAGCCGGTCGCGGCTCTGGACCGTAGGCTGCCGCCGGACCTTGACAAGCTGCGTTGGCCTAAGGTCGATCTCTGCAACCGAGTGGCCGCCTGATTTGCTCACGCTGCCTGGGCCTCCAAACACCACGATCGAGGGGCTGCCTAGTTTCATCAGAGTGAGTATGGACGGTGGTTGTCTATCCGCACGAGACCGTGGCCGTGTTTTCGTGAATTGGGACGGCCTCACCGTCGGCAATCGCCCGCCGGATGGTTTCAGCCTTACGATGAGCGAAGGCGGCCTCGGTTTCAGCTACTTCCTCCGCGGCTAGAGAAGAGGGAAGTGATGGCCCGACCTTCGCTTGGCCACGATCACGAGCAAATGCCTCGGTTTCAGTGTGAGGAAATAAAAAGTCGCAAAATGAAGGAGTTTTCCGTGTGGGTGTGTATAAAAAATCCCTAAATAAAATGTCGTGTCGTTAAGCGAGCGGTATTGACACCTAAATTTAATCGTTAATTCGAATAATCATTCTCATAAAACTACGAAAATAATAACAACAAAAAGAAAACGCGAGACGGTTAATTCGGTTTCGATCAAATTTGCAAAGGAATTCAGCACCAAGAGGAAGCCCACATTAAAAGATGCTTATGAAGCATATAACTTGGTAAAAAGGGGATCGTGGTTAGTAGAGATGCTTTGGATGACGATCTCCGGTCTCTTCCGCGACAAAGCTCTTTGCATCGCGATATCAGCTTTGATCGGTCCTGATTTGGTTACATCCGATCGAAGCTTCTCCATCTTGCTTAGGCCGGAGCCAACCGCAGATGAATATCCCCGATGAGTAATTCCGTTGGTGGATTTTGTCGCCGCCGAGCGTCACCAATAAAGATGTTACGCCACCAATGCAATCATTACCGTCCCTTATATAATTAAATCCACCCCATTTTCATTAAAAAGATAAAGCTACATTTAATTATTCCATTGCAATTTAAAGCGGTGACCCACAATTTATTATTATTATTTTTTCTTTTGTTAGTTTTATTTTTATTTTTATGTAGGATCCAGTTGCCATGACTAAGAATATCACTCATCTTGTTCTTGTTTATTATGGATAGGATATCCCGTGTATATTAAAGGCACTATGTTTCTCTTCCCTCTTTTTTTTTATTTACTTCCAAAAAAATTAATTTTGTCGTAAATAGGAAATAATAATAAGAATGAAGAATACCACCCGCCTGGGTGGTGCTGCTGGAAAGGACACTCTTCCTCTCGCAAAAGGTTGGGTGTTCGAATCCCGGGCGCCGCAGGGTGACTTAACCGGTGCACGTGTGTGGTGGCTAGCACGTGTCGCCCCCAGGGTTTACCTCCCGGCTGTCGGCCGTGCGGGGGTTCCCTGGGTTATCAAAAAAAAAAAAAAAAGAATGAAGAAAAAGATATTCCTATGTGGCGCTATTTTTACCCCCTATGTAACTAAGAGCGCGCATGGTAATATTTATGTTCCAGAAATCAATTTCTGGCAAGAAATATATTTTTTTATTTCTATTCCGTGGACGAGTTTCTAAGCAAAAATGCGTGTTTGATAACGACACAAAATTTCTATTTTCGAAATAGAAATTCGTTTGATAACAACACAAAATTTCTTTCTTCCGGGCTACCGGCGGAGGACGGCGAGTGGCGGCGGGGGGCGAAGGATGGTGGCCAGAGGATGGCGGCGGTAGGCAGCTGGTGGCGGGAGGCGATTGGCGCCGGGCCGTAGCCGGTGTCAGGTGGTGGAGCACGGCGGCCAGCTGCGGAGCACGGTAGTCGGCGGCGAACAGTGGCGGTGGCGGCCAGAGGCGATCGGCGTCGGGCGGTGGAGCATGGCAGCTAGCGACGGAGGACGGCGGTCGATGGTGGGTAGCCGCCAGCCCCCCGGGGGGTAGCCGGCGGCGGAGGGCGTCAGGTGGCGGCTGACGTCGGGCGATGGAGCACGGCGGCCGACGGTGGAGAACGGCAACAGGTCTTGTGACGGCCGGCGTCGGGCGGCGGAGGACGGCGGCCAATGACGGGTGGCAGCCGGCATTGGGCGGCAAAGGATGGTGGTCGGCGACAAGAGGAGGGCGGAGGGCGGTGGCGGAGCCGGTCGGCAGGTGGCGGCGAAGGACGGCGGGAGGCGACGGTGGGCGGGTTGTAGCCGACGTTGGGCGGTGGCGAACGATTGAGGATGGCGGTGGGAGGAGGCGGTTAGCAAAGGACGCCGGCAGTAGGCGGCCGATGGCGGGAGGCGGCCGACGGCGGGAAGCGGCTAGCGGTGGCGGGAGGCAACCGGCAGCAATAACGAGTGGCAAGCGATAAGAAAAGTTTCTATTTCTTATTTCTGTTCCAAAAATAGAAAAGTAATTTTTTTTTACTTCTGATTTCTGTTTCAAACCTATTTCTAGAATAGAAATTTGTTCCAGAAATAGAAAAATAAAATTGCGTTACCAAACGGATTTCTGTTCCAAATCTGTTCCTCGGAACAGAAAAATAGAAAAATAGAGAAACAGAAATGATTTCATGCGTGCCCTAAAATTCCACCCCATTTTCATTAAAAAAAATTGAAGTTGCTCTTAATTAGTCCATTGCAATTTAAAGTGGTAGCCCCCAATTTATTTATTTATTTTCCTTCTTCCGGTAGTTTTCTATTACTTTGTAGGATCTAGATGCCACAACCAAGAATATCACGCATTTTAGTTTTGTCACGAACACGTGATAATAATAAGGGAAAATGACACAAATAAATTGTCCATGAATTTTGATCAAATATATAATTTGGTCTCTAAATTTTTAATTTATTCAATGTAGTCCCTAAATTTTAACCCAATGTACAATATGGTTCATGAACTTTTAATTTGTTCAATGTCTTATCTACACTTTTGGTACTTGTTCAATTCAGTTCCTGAATTATATGAAAATGTTCAATACAGTTATTTCCATTAATTCAAGTTCAGTGACTACATTGAACATTTTCTTATAATTCGAGGACTGAATTGAATATGTACCAAAAATTTATGGATGACATGGAATAAATTAAAAGCTCATTGATCAAATTACATATTAGATCAAACTTAAGGGACTGTTTGTGCCTTTATCTCTAATAATAAATAGAAAGAAAAACGCTAGGAGCCAAATTACAATTCGCTCTCCGAGATTCAAAGAGATAGCAGCAGCATCTTCTTCAGCTCTTCAGCTGTTATCCCAAACCGGAAGCGCGAGAGGATTGCGCGAGAGCTCGCGAGAATGGCGGTCACGCTCAGCAATGGATTCAAAATACCAGCGATCGGCCTCGGCGTGTGGCGAATGGAGAAGCAGGAGATGAGGGACCTCATCATCAACTCCATCAAGATCGGCTATCGCCACTTCGATTGCGCCGGTACGCCCCCGCGCAGCGGCTCTTCATTTGGCTGTCTTCAAATCCTATCCTCGTTTTCTAGGGTTTCGGTCGATTTAGTGTAATAGCTGTGTCTGTCTTGTTTTGTTCGTTATCTGGTACTGGTAAAGTGTCAAGGAGCGTGGACCAGGAGTTTGTCGGGCCTTTTTGCTGGTGAACATGATCGGACACTGATTGGCGCATTTCCTCTTTGTTTTTCTACTGTTCGGAGAGTCCGCTAAGAAGATTTGAAGCAGCGAGAGGATTGGTGTAGTTATCTATCGATTGAATTTGAGAATGTTAGAACAAGAAATCGATGCTAGTCTCGCGCGCCTTGGCATTCGTTGCGTGTGCGGGGAGAATAGTTTGAATATAGGAACCGTTATTGTTCATTCACGCGATTTGTTCGAAGTAAGTCGCCCGTAATTGTAATGACACTTTGTGCATTTTTTGAATTGATGCATTGCAAGATAGATCCTCTGAGGTTGTTATTTTATAGTATTTAACCAGTTCGTGTCGGGTGCAGCTGATTATCTGAATGAAGCAGAAGTTGGCGAGGCGCTTGCTGAAGCGTTGCAGACGAGGCTTGTCAAGAGGGAGGAACTTTTCATCACCACCAAGGCGGGTTTAGTGATCCTCCCGCGACTTTGAATCTATGCCATGCTAAGTATGGACTGTCTAATTTTCTGAATGGTCCTCCCTCATGCAGCTTTGGAATTCAGATCATGGGCATGTCGTAGAGGCCTGTAAGGACAGTCTGAAGAAGTTACAGCTTGATTATTTGGATCTCTACCTTATTCACTTCCCTATAGCAACTAAACACACTGGTGATTCCCATACCATCATTTCAGCATCTGATTCTACTTGCAAACTGTGATCCGATTCCAAACTTTACGAGCTACTCAATGAGCTGCTGAGCATTACATCTTGGTTAAAAGGTGTTTTCCGCTCAAAGTCAAAAGGTGGTATATTGGTAATGACAATAAAATCAAGTATCCTCGCAAGGTGATATCAACTAAGTGTGTGTCCTGGGCTAAGTCTTTTGATATTGCTGTGTTACTTTCTTTATGCTCATGATGCACTGATCTTGTTAAGAATGGTGGAAAAGTCAACTGCTGGAAATTTAGATGTGATTTTGATTGCCATATTGTTCACAAAGCTTTAGCACTTTATCTTTGCTCTGCTCATATTAGTACCTTTACCCTTTATTAGAGTCTAAGATTCTACCAGAGGCATTTTGTTTTGAATGCTAAACATCTTGTTGTAACGTGTATACATGCAGGAGTTGGCAAAACCGGTAGTGCTCTGGATGATGAGGGGGTGCTGGAAATTGACACAACCATAACTTTGGAAACAACATGGCGGGCCATGGAAGATCTTGTCTCAATGGGTTTAGTTCGAAGCATCGGGATCAGGTTCGAGAACTTTTTGGATAGTTTAACATTTTCTAAGACACCTCTCGTGAAATATTTAGCATTTTTACTTGGAAGGGGAAGCTCCAATGTGACAGTAAAGGAGATTGTAATTCAAGGACTTCCCATATTCATTGGGAAATTTCTTTACTTCTCTATAGTACTTGAGAGGTGACCTCTGGCATTAGTTTAAACCAAGGATCTGACAAAGATGGTGTTCCTTCATAGTTTGAAGTCCACAGCAAGAGTTTAGTTTCAAGAGCGTTTTTGGTGATGCGCACTCGTGGGATTTTGATATTTTGGACCTGATGTTGGGAGCATAACGTTTCCATGGCAATCGATAAATCTTTTGTGGAAGGAGTACCTTTGGTGAAAGGATTGCACTTATTATTTTTTCTCTGGGAAGATGTGACAGTAATAAGACTCTTCAAATAATGCTGTATGCGATGCCCGGAGGAGCAGGGAGCAGTCTAACTGCCTCATAAATCTAGGTTTTCCATTATCTTCGTCCTCCTTGGAAATTGAGCTTCTCATTCTTAAGTAGTACTATCTATGAGAAGTAATAAGTACCGACAGAGGCTGGGAATGCGTTACAATCCTTTTCTCAAAATAGAAATTTTGAATGCCCTGCATGTTTTACGGACCTTCTGATTGCTCTGACTGTTGTATGGAAACTGTGTGCAGCAACTACGACATCTTCCTAACCAGAGATTGCCTGGCCTACTCCAAAGTGAAGCCCGCTGTTAATCAAATTGAAACCCATCCATATTTCCAACGCGATTCCCTTGTTAAGTTCTGTCAGAAACATGGTATCTGTGTGACTGCACACACTCCCCTCGGGGGCGCTGTTGCAAACGCAGAATGGTTTGGTTCCGTTTCGTGCTTGGAAGATCCAGTTCTCAAGGTACTGCTTGTCTGTATCATTCATGGTGATCTTTTCTTTCTTCCTTTTAGTTTCTGCCGCTTTGCAATATTTGACAATTCCCCTCAATTCTCTATCGATTCAAGGGTCTGGCTGAAAAGTACAAGAAGACAGTTGCACAAGTAGTTCTGAGGTGGGGTATCCAACGCAATACCGTTGTCATTCCAAAGAGCTCAAAGGTTGAGAGGTTGGAAGAGAACTTTCAGGTCTTTGATTTCGAGCTTGCGGAAGAGGACATGGCCCTGATCAAGAGTATCGACCGGGCACACCGGACTAATCAACCTGCGAAGTTTTGGGGCATAAACCTATTTGCTTGAGTATGTCCAGAAGCATGATTGCTTAGGACGGATGCTGCTGCTTTTCATATGGAGAATAATTACGTGGGAGGTGAAATGCATACTTGTAGCTTGTCGAAACACTTGTGCGCCGAGTCTCTTATTGAATTGCACCTGTCAATGTCGAAACATGTTGTATCTCTTACCTGGACAAACTGTTCGGTTTGATGTTTCGACGAAAAGTACCGCGACAACACCTCCATGGTTATTTTTGTGGACTTTCTCTTGCTACATTTCCGGGGCAAACGAAGTATAGGCACTCTGCTTCTGTTTTATCAAATAATCTGCATTGAACATATAGAAGTGCAGAGAAATTCGAGGTGAGATTACTCGGATTGGTGTTGCTGGTTGCATTGCGCAGTTAGAGAAACTGCTCGAATGCATTATGCAATAGAGCAATGGATAAGTGGCAAGACAAACCGAAAATATAATGCAATAGTACGGTTAGGGGCGGTTATCAACCACTGCGAAACTCAATCTGCGTAAAATCCGAAAGCTTAGGTAGCGAATGATAACTATTCTGTTCCGAAATGAGTTCTTGAACCAGAAATAGATTTTTCTATTTCCGGTTCCTAGATGAGTTTCTGAGAAAAAAAACTCGTTTGATAATGACAAAAAATTTCTATTTCTAGAACAGAAACCCGTTTGATAACAGCACAAAATTTCTATTTCCTAAAATAAAAACCCGTTTGATAAACAACAGAAAATTCTATTTCCAGGAACAAAAATCCATTTTTTTAGAAATGGAATAAAAATAATAAAAAATCCGAAAAATTCATAAAAATATTTAAAAAAATTCAGAAAATCCCAAAAAATTGAAAAATTCCAGAAAAAATCATCAAAATGGAGAGAAAATAAAAAAAATTTAGATTTCGGGAAAATAGGAAATTTGTTGAATTTTTTCAAAAAAAATCAAGAAATCAAAAATTTCAAAACTTCACAGAATTACTTAGAATATCTGTGGCCACCCACTTTTAGTGAAATTTAAATCTTTTTAGGTGCCCAAAAAAAAATCAAAAAATCAAAAATTTCAAAACTTCACAGAATAGTTTAGAATACATGTGGCCACCCACTTTGAGTGAAATTTAAATTTTTTAAGGTGCCCAAAAAAATTCAAAAACTCAAAAATTTCAAAACTTTACAGAATGGCTTAGAATACCTGTGACCACCCACTTTGAGTGAAATTTTAATTTTTGGAGGTGAAAAAGAAGCAAAAAATCAAAAATTTCAAAACTTCACAGAATGACTTAGAATACATGTGGCCATCCACTTTGAGTGAAATTTTAATTTTTTTAGGTGAAAAAAAACATAAAAAATCAAAAATTTCAAAACTTCACAGAATGACTTACAATACCTCTAGCCACCCACTTTGAGTAAAATTTAATTTTTTTTAGATGCCCAAATGGTATTTATTTTTTATTTTTTATTTTTTTTGGTTCCTAAAGAAAATTAAATTTCACTCAAAGTGGATGGCCACATGTATTCTACGCCACTCTGTGAAGTTTTGAAAATTTTTCTTTTTTGCTTATTTTTATTTTTTTTTCGACACCTAAAAAAAATTAAATTTCACTCAAAGTGGGTGGCCACAGGTATTCTAAGCAATTATGTGAAGTTTTTATTTTTTTATTTTTTTCGGCACCTAAAAAAATTTAAATTTCTCTTAAAGTGGATGGCCACATGTATTCTAAGCCATTTTGTGAAGTTTTGAAATTTTTTCATTTTTTCATTTTTTTTATTCTTTTCGGCACCTAAAAAAATAAAATTTCGCTCAAAGTGGGTGGTCACAGGTATTTTAAGCCATTCTGTAAAGTTTTGAAATTTTTACCTTTTTGCTTATTTTTATTTTTTTTGGCATATAAAAAAATTTAAATTTCACTCAAAGTGGGTGGCAACTTGGTATTTTTAAGCTATTCTGTGAAGTTTTGAAATTTTTTATTTTTTTATTTTTTTCGGCACTTAAAAAAATTTAAATTTCATTCAAAGTGGATGGCCACAAGTATTCTAAGCCATTTTGTGAAGTTTTGAAATTTTTGATTTTTTGCTTTTTTTTATTTTTTTCGGCACCTAAAAAAATAAAATTTCGCTCAAATTGGGTGGCCACAGGTATTCTAAGATATTCTGTGAAGTTTTTAAATTTTAGAATTTTTTTTTGGCAACTAAAAAAATTAAATTTTGCTCAAAGTGGGTGGCCATAGGTTTTCTAAGCCATTTTGTGAAATTTTGAAATTTTTTATTTTTATTTATTTTTTCGGTACCTAAAATAATTTAAATTTCACTGAAAGTGGGTAGCCACAGATTCTAAACCATTCATTTAAGTTTTGAAATTTTTGATTTTTTGCTTTTTCTTCTTACCTCAAAGATCGTGACTTCCATATGAATATGTGTGTTGAAGAAAATGAATTCCTCAGAAATGGTTCTCACTTTTGTTCCAGAAATGAAAAACCAACTTTTTTTTGGTTCTCATTTCTGGTTTCAGAATCAGTTTTGGAAGCAAACTTGTCTCGGAAATAGAAAAATGAAATTGCGTTACCAAACGGGTTTCTGGTCCCAAACTGATTCTGGGAACAAAAAACCAGTTCTGGACAGAACCAGAATGGTTTTCATGCAGCACCTTAGTCTCATTGAGTTGCAGCTAGGGGTGATCGGTTCCAGGGTGAGTTGGGTCCAGACTTGGAACCTGAAACCAACCCTGTTATAACCGGTTCCCAATTTTTGGAACCTTAAACCTACCCTGTTTTCCCTGTATCCTATTTTGGAACCGACCCTATTGACAAATGAATTTTTTTTTTCTGTTGCGTTCACTTTCATTTTGCTTAACTAAAAATAAAATAAAAAAAGAAAGAAGAAAAAAAATGAAACAAAATAAACAAAAGAAATTGGTCGGGTTCCCAGGTAGATTTTGGAACCGATTGACAAAGTATGCGGATTAAGTTCTAAGTTTCAAAAAATAGGGAACCCATTTTATAACTGTAGCAATAAATGGAAAAACCGTATCTAACTTGACGCAATTGTTATTGAAATTGTAAGCATATCTTCCTATCAACGGCCTAAGGAGTGATATAAGAAAAATAATACGAATTGACATCTTTATATCAGGAGCAATATGTAACACGAGCCTTCTAGGGTCCATGAAGGATCGTTCTCCGAAATGTAAAGCCCCCCCCCTAAAGTTGATTATTCTGCCTTTGCTGTATCGTTGAAAGTGTTGTCACATTGCATGAGTTAAGCCCAAGAGCACGAGAGGACTCTAGTACTTGTTCTCTCTCCGAACGGAAAAGAAAGAAAAGTTCCTCTTCTCTTATCTGCTGGTCTCTGAACCAGGGCAATTTCGAACAAAAGAAAAGGCTAGAGCAATAGCTATCCGTTTTTCCTTTCCTTGTTTTTCATTTTTCTCTCCACGTGATCCCTAAATTTTGACCAAATATATGATATCGTTCATGAATTTTTTTACCGTTTCCGAACTTTAACCCAATATGCAATGTTGTTCTTGAACTTTTAATATGTTCTATGCATTTCCCAAATTTTTGGTGATAGAACTATACATAGAGCATTGCATTCTCCTTCACGCAAAATTTCGGCATTTGAGCCCTGATAATCGGTGTCGGTTGTCAAAATAGATTTTGGCCTCATGCATTTCATTTAGAGTGACCGGCCGTTGCCTTCACCAAACACAAACATTTGTAAACACCATTGGAGTATATCTAATATCCAAGTTGTTGGGAAATGCAATATCTTCTTTTGTGGAAATTTAGATGGTTAGCGCTCTTTGGACTAACTTGAAGAAGACAATCTGTATATACCGATAGCAACAAGTACTGAGCATTTTAGTCAATGGGTATCGCATTCCTAGAAATCATGGAACTAAATTCTTCAAACTTTTCTTTGTATCTGGATTGAGGAATTTTTGTCGGGCAAAGAAATGTGGGTTGGGTATTTTTATTATCACCTCCGAAGCCAAAGTATCTGCTTAAGCAATCTTATTCTAGTGGGAAAACGACTTCGTACTACTTTTCATACTATTTCCCTTGTTTTGAACAATTCTTAATTAGGCATCGTGTAGCGAAGCTAGTTGAGATCAATCCCGCCACTCCTCCATGGGCAAAAATTGAACTATTAGCTGGAGCAGCAAGTCTTGTGGTAGATAAACCCGAGTTTTACATGAGCATTTCCCCTAAGCAGAGTTTTTACATAAGGCTTGCCATTAGAATGTGTCATGGATGGATGACTAAGAGAATTTCGAAAGCCCGAACCGACCCTGTGGAAATTCTGGAAGTGTGATCTTAATTGACAGTAACTCCCGAGCCGATTCTTGCTGATTTATAATTTGCTCATCTTCATGAATTCCAACGAGGAAATTTCAGTTCATTTGGCCGAAATTTAATTGCTCGTAACATGTGGACCTCAATTCCAAGCTTGAGAAATACAAATGAATCTATGATAGGTTTAGAGGCATCCACTCATGAAGGCACTGGCATTGAAGCTCAGTTTCTATCTGCTTTGGCATCTATTCTTTCCCTTCTTTCTAGTTGGACAAATTTCAACATTCACTGCCAGCATTGGGTTCGATAAGGGATGTCTTCAGTCTTGTCTAAAATGCGGACAACTTACTCATTCAAAGGTGGGTTAGCCTATCTAGACAAAATTGTCCAAAATGTCCTCGATCTATTGCACGGCGCCCAATTCAATTTTAAACTTTTCAATTGTGTCAATTTAGTCCTAAACATTTTCACAACTTGCTAATTTTAGTCCTGTATCTTTTTATGATTTGCCAATTTAGTCCTTTTGATCAATTTCGATCGAAAATTGCTGACGTGGATAATTTTTGTAATCTTTTAAATATATTTTTTATTTTTTTCCTTTTCTTTTCTTCTTTTTCCCTTTTTCCTGCACTCGGCCATTGTCGGGTCTAGTTGATGGCCACTCCGTTGATCTCAGGCAAGGACCACCCTTGCTAACCTCAAGCGAGGGACGCCTTCACCTAGGCGGGTGAGGGCCCTCCTCACCTGAATGGATCGATGAGGCTCGGCAATGGTTGATGCAGGAAAAAAGGGAAGGAGAAAAAAGAGAAAAGAAAAGAGAATAGAAAAAGGAAGAATAAGAAAAAAATTTAGAAAATTTAAAAATTACAAAAATAATCCATCTTAGCAATTATTTGGTGCCACCGTACGTACTGAGCCACCTGGAAGAAGTTGCAGTAAGCTGACATTGACTAGATCAC